CTCTTAGCTCTTGGACTCCACTGTCAAATTTTCCAAAAGATTTTCCTCTAAGGCCAGGAGAAGCCCTGCTTGATTTCATTTCAGGGAGAGAGGTCCCAGTCTCTCTTCACCCCCAGCCGGCCGGGTGCCCGGCAATCAGCACTCCCCGGCAGGGCTCCGCAGCCTGGCCCGCTGAGCCAGGCGGCCCCCTGCCAAGCACAGGCTGGGGCTGCTCGGAGCTTTCGCCTGGCAGGCCTATTCCAGACTTCAGGGAAGAACAATGGAAATCTGTAGGGCAAAAGGGCCACAAGGGGAAAACGTGTGTGTCGGGTAAAGTAAAACAAAGACAAGAGAGAAAGAAACAGAAAAAAGAGAGAGAAAAAAGAGGTAGAGAGAAGAGAGAAAGACAGAAAAGGAAGAAGGAAGGAAAAAAAGAGAAAATGAAAGAAGGAAAAAGCAGAAGCAAAGAGAAAAAATAGTGCGACAGATAGGAAGAAAGGAACCAAAAGAAAAATAAAGGTAGAGCAAGGGGCGGGCGGAGAAGCTAGAAAGTGAGCGATAAATAGGAAAAGAAAAGAACACACAAAAAGTGAGATAGCCGAAATTGAAGAAAAGAAAGACAGAAAGAAAAACACCGTATAAAAAGAAGCGAAGATATCGAGAGACTTAAGACGGATGAGAGAACATACAGACGGAAGGAAAGACAGGAGTGCACCCCAGTGAGGCTATAACTCTGTAAAACCGCGAGAAGCAAAGAGACCCGCAAGCAGTTGGGCCAGGCCGCGCCGCGAGGCGGTCCCGCGGAGTCCCGACCTTTGGAGAGGAGGAAGCGTCGCGGCTACAAACAAATCCTCAGCATCCATCGCCACCGACCCGAGCCGCCGCCGTCGCCGCCAAGTGCGCTGTTCCAGTCGGGAGAACGAAGGCAGCGGGCCGCTCACTTTACTTTACAAAAAATGGAACATAATTTAGCGGATGCCCGCAAGTGCGGAGGGTGGGTGCCCGGCCCACTGCCCCAGCCCACCCCCCTCGTCGGCGGGTCCGGAGCACGGGCTGGGGCGGGAGCTGACACCGAGGTGCCAAGTCCGCCTGGCCGGAACCCCTGGGGGCGCGGCGGCAGCACTCAAAGGCCGGGCTGTAAAGGTCACAGGCGGTCTGTGCCGCTGGGCTGAATGGGATCCCGGAGGTAAACAGACTCTTAACTTTCAACTTGGCCTTGACCTTCCTGGAGGTGTCTGGCCGGTATGTAAAGGAGCACGCGGAGGCTTTCCGCGAGTTTGGTCGGGTCAGTAAAGGAGGCTGGGGGAGGCCCTGGGCTCCAGGAGGGTCTGCCTCAAGGCTCCCAGCAGGACACAAAGGCATCTGCGGGGCTGGGGGAAGGGCAAGCTCAGCCCAGGCAGGCTGGGAGATCAGGACGCCTGAGTTGGGCACGAACATCAGCGCTGAACTCGAGTAGAACTGCAGGGAGGACTTGGAGGCTCTGAGCCTCAGTTTCTCTGTGCGAGAACCACGCGGCTTGTTGTCAGAGCTGGCGGCAGCTAGTGAGAAGTAGCCAGTGCTCTTTAGGGCAACTGTCTTTCTCTTGTCGCACAAAAGCAGGTGGTTTGTGATTCATTAGAAACAGATACACGTATAGGAACACATAACTTATATTTATTCAGTTTATGAAATGCTTTTAGGTGCAAAAATCTCATTAAATTGTTACAGCATTCTTGTGAGGCATGAAAAATTATCCCCATTTTATAGATAAGGAGACTTAATTTTACTTTACCTGACTTCAGTCGAGATCTAGGATGGGTCACAGACAGATACACGTACATGCACGTGCACAGGAAACAGGAGCACATACCCGTGTGTTAATACATATAAGATCTGGAACTGTTCCCTGGGATCTATTAGATGTTAAATAAATTGTAGAGTAAACAAAAACAAACCCCACAGCATTTAAGCGTATTGAAATGTATCTGTTTACATTCAATAGCGCAGCTAGTGACCTTCTCCCAGGCAAAGTTTAAGTTAGTCATCTTTTCATTCCACAACAAAGCAGAGTTACATGCACTTAGCTGCTTATTTCAATGAACATGGAAAAGAACTTTATATATCAAAAAAAACACAATTATAGGCAGTGATACTGTGACTCTAAAAATTTTGTTTTTAGTTATTTTTCCTTTAAAAATTGATATAACTGATATACAGTAAAGTGCAGAAATCCCACGTGCACAGTTTGATGAGTCTTCACAAAGTGAACAAACCCATGTAGCTAGCATCTAAAAAGATCAAGAACATTTCCAGCACCCCAGAGAGCTTCCTTATGTCCCCTCCCAGTCAGAAGTCCACCTACCCAGGGCAATCTCTGATCTCTATCCCCGTACACTAATTTTGGTTATTCTGAAATTGCATAGTAATGAATCTTATGAAAGTTACTCTTTTGTTCTTGGCTTCTTTCACCCACGTATCTATGTGATTCATCCATGTTGTGTATAGCAGTGGATTGTTCTTTTTATTGCTGTGTAGTGTTCCATAGTTTAATTATAGCATGATTTCTTTTCTCATTCTACTGTTGATACACATTTCAGTTATTTTTAGTTTTGAAGTAGTATGCATTAGAGCTGCTATGGACCTTCTATAGCACATGCCTTTTGATGGACATAAATGTTCATTTCTATCGGGTTTATGTCCAGAAATGGAATTGCTGGGCCAATAGGGTATGACTATGATTATTTATGTTTTAAAATTCAGGGATCTGGCTAGGAGCAGTGGCTCACACCTGTAATCCCAGCATTTTGTGAGGCCAAGGCAGGAGGATCACTTGAAAACAGGAGTTCAAGACCAGTTTGAGCAACATTTCAAGACCCTATCTCTACAAAAAATAAAATAAAATAAATCCCAGTTGGATGTGGTGGCATGCACCTGTAGTCCTAGCTACTTGGGAGGCTGAGACAGGAGGATTACTTGAGTGCCACTGTGCCTTAGCCTGAGCGACAGAGCAAGACCCTGTCTCTTTAAAAAACTAAATTAAATACAAATCTATTCATGCGTGGATTATACAGGCAAGGATAAATCTACCCATACAAATTCTACCCATATATATATATATATATGTTTGCATAGTGGAAGTTAAAACTGTGGCTATGCCCTATGTATCCATCATCTACCAAGTAAAACTGGTGAAAAAATCTTAGCCTTTGTGTTAAAATCCTGGTATTTCTGCCTTTCATAATTAGACAAGCAAAAGACTATGAAGAGTAACTGGAAAACATTAAAGACACATATCCTTCCTTCTTTTTTCATATTGTTTTCAAATGCCATGAAATCTAGCAGGATTCCATGCTTGACATCTTCAACTATTAGCCACGTTCATTAAGAGTGATCTACACTTTCCACTATAGCCCCACAGCTTGGAGCAACTCCAGTTTGCATAAGGGCTCTTTCCCACAAGGTGACTCAAGTTCAAGTTTAGGTTGGTGAGGGGACATGGCTGAGCACACTCAAAGCTAAGGGTGGTCTGTTCCATAGAATAGCCAAGATCCTGGTGTAGAATGGAAAAATTCCTGTCTTCTCCAGAAAAACTGGGGGTTCTAGGAAAAGCAAACAAAAGGATTTGATTTGAGAGAGGGTGGTAAAGGAAACAGAAAACTTCTAAAGAAGTTTGTGAAACAAACCGTTTGATTTTTCTGAATTGCACTGCACAATAGGCCCCAAGAGAGGGGCCTCAAGCAATTCTGCCAGTGTTTGGGCCTACCCCTCCCATTCTCTTTCCTTTCTAAGAAAATGTAAAGCCTAGAGGAGGCAGATAGGGGTCCTGGGCTTTCTGGACACTCAGCTTAGGTGGGAGTATGCCAATGCCAGGGACAGTTTCCTGGGCCTCCTGGACCACAGGAGGAGGACTGAATGCAGGGAGGCTGGGCATCTCCATACAGCCCAGGCGCCTGCATTCTTGGGGTCTAGATCTCTCGAAGTTGGTTCATGGCAGTTAGCCAGGCCTGGCCTCCCCAGACTTCCTTAGATCCTAGAAAAGTGAGAGGAGGAGGTGTGTTTCAGTTTTTTCCAACTGGCACTTCAGGATTTTATAAGATTCTGTCTCCTGCCGTCTTTCAACTTCTCTTTTCCTCTTTGTGCTGCTGTCCCTAGATCTGAGATTCTCTCATATCATATGCGTCTCTGTATGTCTTTCCCCACCCTTAAACGGAAATCCAGACCCCTTATCACAAGCCACGTATAGAGGCTCCGTTTCCTCTGCAGGTCCGGACATTCAGTGTTCTGAGCTCTATCCACATCGCACGTTTTCTGCGTTCAAGTTCATTTCCCCTCCCCCTGCCTCGCCGCGAATAGGGGCTTCCAGAGCCTGGAGGAAGAGGCGCCCCGACACGTCCCTGGGGCCAGCAGCAGCTCATTACAGCACATCCAAGACACGAAGGGCACCTGGAATGAGCTGGGGTGCTAGTACCCAGGACTCAAAGCAAAGGGCTCCCAGAAACACCCGTTAACCTCTATTTCCCAGCTTCCTCTTAGGCACATTCCCGGGTTCTCCTTTGAGGCAAGGAGCGGCCTCCCAGCCCCACCCCCGACTCCCCTTCCCCCCACGAGACGGACACTTTATAGGGAGGGCTTTTTATTCTCTCATTAAACCTGCCAAAGCGCAGGAGACAGAGAGCCAGGGAGGGAGAGGAGGAGACAGAGGTGGGGCCGGGCTCTTCGTACTCTCTCTCCACCTACCACAGCTCCCCCCCCCTCCACGGCACTGGGTCTCTCTAAACTGGAAAGCAGCAAAAGGACACCTCCTCCCTTTTCTCTCCTGTTGTTTTCAAATAAGATGAGAGAGAGAGAGAGACAGACAGACAGACAGACGGGGGGGGCAGAGAGACAGAAAAAGAGAGAGAGAGGAAGAAGGAGAAAAGCTGGGGTAAAGTATTTTCGCAATTTCTGCCGTGAGGATTTTATTACCTTCTCTCCCCAGGCCTCAGCCAATCAGCGCGCGAGCCCGGGCCCTGCGTCTCTTGCGTCAGGACGGCCGAGCTAGGCGAATGCAGGCGCCTAGCGAGCTGGGAGCGATTTAAAACGCTTTGGATTCCCCCGGCCTGGGTGGGGAGAGCGAGCTGGGTGCCCCCTATATTTCCCACCCGCAGCGCCCCATGAGCCGTCTCTCGGCCCCATGGAGCTCGGCAATTATGCCACCTTGGACGGGGCCAAGGATATGGAAGGCTTGCTGGGGGCGGGAGGCGGTCGGAATCTAGTCGCCCACTCCCCGCTGACCAGCCACCCCGCGACGCCTACGCTGATGCCCGCTGTCAACTATGCCCCCCTGGATCTGCCAGGCTCTGCGGAACCCCCAAAGCAGTGCCATCCGTGCCCCGGGGTTCCCCAGGGGGCGTCTCCAGCTCCTGTGCCTTATGGCTACTTTGGAGGCGGGTACTACTCCTGCCGAGTGTCCCGGAGCTCGCTGAAACCCTGTGCCCAGGCGGCCACACTGGCTGCATACCCTGCGGAGACTGCTGCGGCCGCCGGGGAGGAGTATCCTGGCCGCCCCACTGAGTTTGCCTTCTATCCGGGGTACCCGGGAACATACCAGCCTATGGCCAGTTACCTGGATGTGTCAGTGGTGCAGACCCTGGGCGCTCCCGGGGAGCCTCGCCATGACTCCCTGCTGCCCGTGGACAGTTACCAGTCCTGGGCCCTCGCCGGTGGCTGGAACAGCCAGATGTGTTGCCAGGGAGAACAGAATCCACCGGGTCCCTTCTGGAAGGCAGCATTTGCAGGTAACCTTCACTACGCTGGGTCCCTCTTGGCTCTCAGCTGGGGTTATTGGCCTCTCTGGCACTTGCCTGGGAGAAGGAAGGCGACTTGGGGCTGGTGAGGGGGAGCTTGGTGCTTCTCTGTTGGTTGTCAGGACTCTGAAGGCGCGTCCAGGCAGTGTGAGGGGCCTGAGCTGGGTGCTGTCTGAAGCCAGAAGGCTACAAGTTTGCCTCACTTCCCCAGAAGGCCCTGGGACCAGCCTTTCAATATGTCTAGAGCCTTGGATCTCTTTGCTGTTGGGTGGGGGTCAAGGTGTCCCTACCCAGCCAAATCCTAGTCTAATTCTACACAAAAGCTAAATAACTCTCAATTAGTGAATGGGGGGAGGTGGGTATGGGAGGTGGATAGGGAGGTATTGGATGTTCTGTAGAGAATACAAGCCGTCACTTTTTTTAGATTAGTTTTTCAATTTCCAAAGGAAAATTTAGGTTTCCTACATCCATGACTTAGGTGTGTGCATTGGGGTGGGTGAATGTGTGCATGTGTGCCTGTGTTGGTAGTCGGGGCAGAAACATGTTTCCTCTCGTGCAGAATTTGCCTGTAGAATCTACAAGGGTGGTTAAGAGTCTGCAAATGCATGCAGGGCGGACATACATGTGAGCACAGGCCTGGCTGTGTGTGTGGTGGGTGTGTTTGCAGACTCATGGGTGTGAGAGCAGTGATGAGTGAGGGTGGCCTGCAGGAGCCCAGGCTGAGCGGTGGTCAGAGAACCAGCTAGAAGTCAGGGCATCCCCGTGTGCTTTGGGGTTGCATCCCCGTGTGCTTTGGGGTTGCAGGAGCACACGGTGTGCTTGTAGGGTGACCTTGGAGCGCCTGTACGATGACTTAGCCGGGAGCTTGCAGGGCCTAGGTCTGCACTTGGGCACATGCCAGGCAGGGGTCTGAGCTTGCCTGTTTCTCCCTCCTTTTTCCGCTGCGCAGACTCCAGCGCTCAGCACCCTTCAGAGGGCTGCGCCTTCCGTCGCGGCCGCAAGAAGCGCATTCCCTACAGCAAGGGGCAATTGCGCGAGCTGGAGCGAGAGTACTCGGCTAACAAGTTCATCACGAAGGACAAGAGGCGCAAGATCTCAGCGGCCACCAGCCTTTCTGAGCGCCAGATTACCATCTGGTTTCAGAACCGCCGGGTCAAGGAGAAGAAGGTTCTTGCCAAAGTCAAGACCAGCGCTACCCCTTGAAGGATCTCCCTGGCTGGGAGTGGGAGGAAGTGGTGGTGTCCTGGGGGACCAGGAACCTGGGGCCAAGGACTCTGATGAGGGGCCCCCAGAAATGACACCCTTCCCGGGCCACTGGCTCCTGGATTGTTAGCTCAGGGGTGGCCTGGGTACCCCACATGTGCCCAGAGAGCAAGGCCTGGTGTTACAGCCCACTCTGCCAGTGTTCCCAAAGAACTTGTCCCATTCATAATCATTCATCCTGACAGTGGCAATAATCACAATAACCAGTAGTAGTTGCCATGATAATTAGCCTCATATTTTCTATCTAGAGCTCTATAGAGCACTTTAGAAAACGCTTTCATGAATTCAGCTGATTTTGAATAAACTTGGAAGGAGATCTCTTGGCAAGGCAACTTCATCTCAGACCTCCTTCTGTTTATACCCCCCCATCCCAGTAACAGCAGGAAGACTGGGGAGAGGGGGGAAAGGCAGATTCCCCTGTGTGGCTATCAGGCACATTTAACATTCTTCTAAGATGACAGCTGGACAGGATAGACAATGCTAGAGGGAGCCTCTTCCTCCATGTCCCTCCCAGGGTGTACACACTGGTCTCCGAGGCCCCCACACCTAACTCAGATTTTGCAGTTGTGTGAAAATGAGGCCACTGGCCTCCCTAGTCAATCCTCCTTGCTTCCAGAGAAAAGGAATTTGAGAAAGTGCCTAGATCATTCACCATTCCTCATTTCCTAGCCCAAACTCTCCAAGTCTTCCAACGTTCCTGGTGGTTCTGACTGAAGCAGGTCATGGTTTGTTGGGGATTTGGGAGTCACATGAAATAGATATTTGTGGCCTTGTAGACGTGGCCCCTCTTGGACAGAAACAGAGTAGTATCCTACTCTACCTACCCTTAGGCCTATCCCAAACACCCTGATATAGCTAAGCAGAAGAGAAAACCAGAAAATGGCCCCATTCATCACCCATTTTCTCCCATTTGCTTTCCCTTGACACCCAGAGAACATAGGATCTTGCAAGCAGTAGGCCTGGGCCATGCAGCAGGTCCTTTTGTGGTGGAAAGAATAGTGGTTGGTGGAGGGCAAAGAGTGGGGGAACCGCAGGTGGCCATCCATGGGTGGCCGCAGACTTCGTTTAATTTTCACTTTGTACACTGAATCCCAGGTGGGTGGAGGGCCGGGTGGCGCCAACTCTGTTTTCCTGGTCCATGTAGATAGACCAACATTGTGGAATTCTGGAAAATGGGTGGGCAGGTGCCCACCAGCTGTTTGCAGAGCCAGGACGCTGAGAGGCAGGGGGTCTCCTCCTCCATGCGGGTTCCCAGTGCTGTGTAATTGGGCCCAGTGCCTGGTGGGCGGCACAGCAAAGCCAGCGGGTTTGTGCCGAGCCTTCCTGCAGCCTAGGCTGGGGAGGCCCTGCAGACGCGCGCCCTCCTGTCGAGAGCACTGGCCTGGAGTCCGGAGAACCCGCCCCACCGAAGTTCCGAGCAGTGGGCAGGCAGCGAGCAGTCGAGCAGTCGGTGGCGCGCCGTGGCCACCATCTCGACGGCCTTTCCTTTTGGGAGCCGGCTCCCGGAGTTCTCCAGGAAACCCCGGGGCAGTCGCTGCCGCCACCGCAGCCAAGGGATTCGAGTGTTTATGGCGCGCGGTCGGTGGGATCCCAGCCCTGGCTCCTCTCCGGGAAAGAATGAGGTGGGAAGTGACGCAGACTCTTCTAAATCTATTTACCAAAGAAGAGCTCAGGACTGAGGGAAAAGGCCAAAGACGATCAACCTTCCTCCCTGGGTTTCAGAGTATGAGTGCTGGGGGCGGGGGTGGAGAAGTTGGATTTCGTGATTTAAAAAACCCTTTCAAGCCCTGTGGTCCAGTTTAAGCTCCTCGGCTACATGCCAAGCTCAGAGGACGTCCCTTTCTGCCTTCCACGTTCTTCAAGCGAAGCCCCATGCGGGTGGGTACCTTTTAATATCGCAGGTTCTTACTTCTAAGTCTCTATAAACCCAAACCCAATCAAGGATAACGCAAGCACACCCTTCCCTCGCCCACTTCAGACGTCAGCGCAGATGGGCATGTGGGGAGCGCGCGAGATAAATGAGGGGGAACGTCATGGTGCTGCGGGGTCCCCACTTGGGGCGAGGAAAAAAGGCTACAGGAGGGGCTGTCACGCCTATTAACCGGAGATGGTCCAGGTAGAGAGAGACCTGTGGAGGTCCGGGGCCTGGACTCTCAGGGCTCTAACTCCTCCACTCTGCTATCAGGAACTTAAAGTTTCGGGGCTGCTCTATTTTTCGCTTGCAGTAATTTCAGAACAAACAAAAGAACTGGAATCTTACGGATTTATTCCACCAGTGTGTTCGGACTATTAAAAAGACAAGGGTGCCCCCTCCCGGCGGAGACTCGCCACTTCAAGGAACCCGCAGACAGGGCCCTGGGCTTTGATTCCCCACCTAGCTTCCGGCTTCCCGCCGCCTGGGGCCACAAGCCTGGGGGGTTGGGGTTTTCTGGGCTGTGTGTGAGAGCCTCAGGACCCGTTGTCGCCTGGAATTCGGCCAGAGCATCAGCAGATGTATCGGTCCAGCCTCCGAGAGACCCCAGGAGGAAGGCGAGGAGGGCGGGCCCGAGCCATCTCTCCAATGGAAGAAGAGGGCGGTCAGGGCTCCGGAGCAAGGCGTGGCGCCAAATGTTCTCCGTCCAAGTCTTCGTTCCACCGGAGTAATATATTTATCTTTCTCAAAATAACAATTCGCAGCGGACCCCCTACTGTTTTTCTGATTTACTTATATGGAACCTGTACAAAATTATTTAATTTCATTTTGTATTAAACCCTTTTATGGAATCCCTTAACAGCTATCGATTTTACGCCCTGAGTGAATTATACCCACCCACCCTCGACCGACCACATTGAAATCTCTTATTTGTATTTAAATTCCAACAAAATACACGTATCCACATTTACTCCACCTGCAGCTATTTGCTTTTAAATAAGGGCCGTTTTATGCTACAATTATTTTGCTTATTCAGACAAACTTGAACACTGTCGCAAATTGGTAAATCCAGACATTTTCATGGACAAATAAACGCAGAGGCACATCCAAATACTACAGAAAAAAGCAGGGGCCTTTTTACCAACAAGGTCTAATTTTATCTCTGCTCAGCACTGGACTCTAAGAGATAAAAAGTAAAAAGGCTTTATTTTACTCTGAGCTACCCTCCACACCTTTCCCCTCTCTCGGAGCCAAACGTCCCTCGAGCCGAGAGTCTCCGCAAGCAACGAAACAGGAGCGGAGGGTCGCGTCTACGCGGGCACGAGGACCGAAATCACTTTTATTCCAAAGCAGGTGAGTTTTATTAGGCCTCCAGAGGCGGAGTAGCGGAGTAGTGGTGAGCTGACGCTACCTCTGAAGCTCTTTGAATCTAGGTTCTGGCAGCAGAAAGTGGGGAGCTAACCTAAGGCTCCATCTTTCACGTCTTTTACTCCTGCTGGCAAACGCTTCAGGCGGCCCAGGACCCCGCGAGGCCGCGGCTGGTGGAGAATCTGCCCCGTCTCCCTCCCGCAGGCTAGCTCTACTGGTAGTAGTAGTTCCAGGGCCGGAAGCAGCCCCTGCGGCAGGGGAAAGCCCCCATCAATCCCCCCAGTTCTCAGGAGCGGCGCCGGCTCCCCTCCCCCAACCCTAAGCAGACTTCCCTCCCCGCCTCCAGTTCCCCGCCTCCCCTTCATTAAAGTTTTATTCGAGGTCCTAAGTGCTGCACTTTAATTATGTTTCCTTCAGGGGAAACTCTCTGTGCTCTACCCCCACCCCGTCCTGTTTAATAGAAACCCCAGAGCTACAATCGCGAATTAAATAAATGAACTCGTTACCGTAAGCTTGCAATAAAGCGCGGTAGCAACTGCTGCGGAGGGGATGAAAGGAGCGGGTTTCGTTGTTTTGAAAAAAATTTATACTATATTCTCACCCACCTGAGCAGTCGCTCTCTCCGAGCAAGAGGGGAGAGAGCACTGGAGCGGCCCTCGGCCTCTTGCCCAAGAGCAGGACACCCCGCCCCTCCCCCCAGGCGCTGGCTTGGGCCTGGAGAGAGATTTAAAACATCCAATGGGGAACCGATGCCAGTCTGTCTTCCTCTTTCCGCTACCAGTAAATTCTGCGTTGGGGTGGGGGGAACTGGGTGGTCGGAAGACACATGAAGGAAAGAATTCCATTATCCCCTCCCCTCCCCTAAATTGCCCCCCAAAATAGGAGACAGGGGGCAACAAAGGAGTTCAGTCGCCCCCAGAATAATGGGGAGGGAAAGGCAGCAACTGCTGGCGCCCAGCCTGCGGGGAGGGTCAGGGATTTTGCCATTGAACTTGAAGTTCCAGGCTGGTGGTCTCCACCACCTCCGCCCCTGCTTTCCTAAACGCTTTGTGGAAGAAGGAGGAAGAAGAGGGGAAGAGGAGACATCTCTGGCCTTGGGAAACAGGGAGGAAGCCAAACAGCGAGGGCAGGGCCACAGTGACCAAGAGAGCCGGTAGGAGACTTCGAGGCTGGCGGGAGCCGAAGACGCCTGGGGGTGCGCAGAGGAGACGCTTCATCGGTTGCCCCCATTCACAGCTAGGAGGTGGGGAGCCACCGGCTATGCGCGGTCTCATCGAGCCCCGCCCCAGGCTCTGCGGGGAGGGGGCACCTAGAGCGGCGCTCCTGTTGTTCCTCTCCAGGCTTAAGGTGGCTAGCAGAGCCCCGCGCCGCTGGGAGGCTGAAATCTTCAGGCCGATGCCTGCGGAGCCCAGGGCCTCTAGGCTAGCTGGACTCCAGTCCCGGCCTTTGCAGAGAGAACAGCAGTGCCATGCGCCCATTTCTCACACCAAGGACCGGCCCATTTTACTACCTCCAAGTGCGTTTCTCTGTAATAAGGTAAACTAGCTGATCCGTGGGCCAAGGGCATTACGGATGTCTCAGTCTAGTACCTGCTACAGAAAGCCCTGGGGCTGGGTCTTAAGAATTTGGGGGTTTCGATGTCTCAGGGGCAAGGGAAAGGCGAGAGGAGGGCTTCACAGAGACCACGGGGCGTGAACACCTCCTCGCTGGTTCCTGGAGAGACCGCAGCCGCTTGAGCAGAAAGGGACAAAGAAAATGTTACGCCGCACGCGGGACTTGCACAGCCTGGGCCGGGATGAGGCGTGTGGGTGGGAGTTAGAACCCGCGAGCTGTAAGAGCCCCATAAGACCTCACGTTTGCCTCCAACTGGATGGAGTCCTGACACAAACAAAATTAATATCGTTAATGTTATTCTTACTTAAAACTATAATATTTTAGAGAACACCTACTTTGAAAATTGGGCGAAAATTAACTGTGATAACAATGAAAACAATGATGTACTAACTCATCCTTAAGGGAAAGGCTGTGGCCCTTAAACAAACAAATCAG